AACGGTGTTTGGACTTCCGAGGGTTGTCGTTTGTGGTGAAGCAAGCTGGTTAATGGAAAACATATTTCAACAAAAATATATATCTTGCTTTTACACTATTGAAAATAATGCCCATCTGGTATACAACATTCCATATAATTCATTCATCGTCAATTCATCTCTTTCATCTTAATTCCAGGAATGAGCAATTTGACCAAAATCGTCCCGGATTTCATTCAGCAGGAAAAATGCGAAGGAACTTGCAATCCAGATGCCGAGGGAGTAAACAAAGGGTGGAAAGTGGGAAAAACCAAGGGATTTAAATATAGAAAAACGTTTGTTTTGCCTGAGAAGTCACATTTAACCCTTGTCTGTCCCGAATCCACTTTGGAGAACACGGTTACGTGGAGAAAACGTGGGAAAGCTCTCGTACCGGGCGATTCAGGTCAGAAGGCTCTTGATTTTTTTATGTTGTTAAAGGTTATATAGGTTTGTGTGTGGAAAGAATTACGGAATTTTCTATAGAAATGAGTTATGGAAATCATTTATTTCGGTTGAATATGTTAAGATTCGTATATAACTCAAAAAATATTTCCAAGTTTTGATGGAAAAAATCAAATGTAGCGTTCTTCTGGGGATCAGCGGATTGAAAAAAATCATATCATTTAAGGACTCCAAGATACTGATTGATTATGCGGCAATACTAAAATGGTTTAAAGTAAAATTAACAATAACATGTCTGCAATTTCTCTTGGTTTCAAGCAGAATACAGTTTTTTGCATGTGTATTATCACATATAGGATTTTTTCCTCTCCTAGTTAAAACGAAAAGTTTCATGGGATCAAGCGAGAGAAGTGATTGCTAATGTACTTTTTTCATGCAACGAGAAGCTGATAATGGCATAAGCATGGACCTGAGAAAGTTCAAGAGCGTTGTGCAAAAGTGGCGGGTGTAAGTTTGAGTAGCATTGAAAGAATAGCTCGTGAAGTGAAAACAATTAAAAATGGTGAGTCATCCTCTTCTTCAACGCCTAAAAAAAAACATAGAAAAGCATCAAAATCAGAATTTGATGATTTCGACAAGGACCTTCTTTGTCGATATATAATCAACTATCACATTACTGAGAAAAAAATTCCCACCCTACGCCGTATACATGAAAAAATCGTTGTCGAAAATGGTTACAAGGGATCTTATGAGTCTCTTAGGAAAGTGATGAAGGAAAAGGAAAAAAAAATAGAAAATTGCCAATGGAAAACCGGCGATTCAGCAGTTGCGAAGAAATTCTTCAGGAACGTGAAGAAATATCGAGAAAAAGGTCGAACAATGATTCATATGGATGCTATATATCCATGCTTCACATATATATGAGAAGATTTGGAATAATGATTTGAATTAAAGGCTGCTTGCACCAATTTCAAAAGGGCAGAGACTCATAATTGTAAATGCAGAAGGAGAATATGGATTTATGAAAAATTCATATCTAAACTTCAAATCCAACATAAAATTGGGCGACTATCATAGCGAAATGAATAACGATAATTACAAAAAATGGTTGCAAGAAATGTTGATTTTAAATCTTTGGTTATAGACAATGCCCCATACCACAATGTTCAGTATGAAAAGTGCCCAACCATTTCCTCGAGAAAAGATGAGATGAAAAANTATAATCTTTTTTTTTCAATCTTCAATTGCAGGAAATCCACATCTTGTCGTAGACACATTCAACACCTTGTATCTCCTAGACGTAACCGAGAGTGAAGAGGGTAATTATACTTGTCAAGTAGACGACATCAGAATGCAACAAGTAACTGTTCACGTCTTTTCAAAGTCACGGTTGCTGACACAAGAACTTGTGAGACACTTGAACTACTTGGGCTTTGTGTTGTCTTTAACTGTAAGTTATGTTGAAAATACACAAAAGAGTACATAAACAAAGAACGAATTTTGGAAAAATAATTGAAATTTGTGGTGAGACAACGGAATGCAGGGTGTTTTTTAACTGACTATGAACATGTGAATGGAGTTGCACTGTTTTTGAAATACAGAGTGTAGAAGAATA